GGCTGTCACCGCCGAGGGCGCCCGTAGGAAGGAGCGCATCCTCTGCCTGTTTGACGTGGACGGGACTCTCACGCCTGCTCGCCAGGTAGGGCCCCGACGGCCGGAAAGAAGCTCTGGCCGCGAGTGGCCCTCGGATGTCCGAGGGCTCGTGTGGGACCTGCAGCGGCTTGACCGCGGACACCCGGGGACCCGCTGCTGTGGGATGCAGCGGTACCGGTCCTTGGCATCCAAGGACCACCCGGAGGGATGGGGACCCTCCGGCAGGTCCCCTCATCCACAGCCTCCGAGCAGGCGCTGGCGCGCGGTGTGTCGGCTCCTGGCCCTCTCACCCCCGGGCCTGGCTCTGGGACGTCCTGCTTCCCCTGCCCGGGGTCCAGAGTTACCCCCTGGTGAGGACAAGAGGGTCCTGGAGCCTTCTGGAAGGGATCAGCCACGCCGCTTTCAGGGTAGATCCGGGAGGAAGATGCAGATCTGGAGTGGAGGTGGCGTCCGCATCGCACCTCCCCTGGCCCTTGGCTGTGTTGACACAACAGCAGCCTGAACTAGAACTGCCTGTTAATTTATCCACCGACAGGTCCTGCACTTAGCGCTTTTCAAGAGTTAATTTTTTATTATATACAGGTTCACTGAGCACATTATTTTTTGTTAAAGAATGAAAACAAAACAGAGTCTGAGGTCTCTGACCACACCAAGATCTCAGGCCTGGGCCCCTCCCCAAAGTAATGTGGTTACTTGTCTAGCATGACCTCCTCCCAGAGGTCTGGGTCCATTTCCCAGAAGAAATATTTTGTGAGGCTATTTTTTGTTGGTTTGTTTTTTGAGATAGGGTCTCTATGCAGTTCAGGCTGGCCGACCTCACTATGTAGCCTAGGCTGATCATGAACTTGTGATCCACCTGCCTCAGCCTCCCGAGAGCTGGGATTGCAGGCGTGCACCACCAGGTCTGGCTTTGTGAGGTTGTTTTATTAAGTGGCATTATATGTTTGCGCCTTCCTACAACTTGCTTTTGATAATTAACTGCATGTCTTGGGCCCCTGCTGTATTGGAAGCACAGAGCTGCCTTACCTGCTGCATAGTATTTCCTGATGAAAGATAGGAATCATTTCCTGGTTGACAAGCTGGTGGATGTTGCTTACTGTTTTTCACTATGCTACATATACCCCAGTGACCCTCCGTGGATACCTGGGCAAGAAAAATGGAAACTGTGGGTGACAGGGTATGTGCATTTTAAGTTTTAGTGGATCTTGACAAATTACCTTCCAAAGAGCTGTACCAGCCAGGAGTGGTGGCACACGCCTGTAATCCCAGCACTCAGGAGGCTGAGACAGGAGGATCGCTGTGAGTTCGAGACCAGGCGGGGCTACACAGTGAGTTCCAGGTCAGTCTCAACTACATAGTGAGACCCTGTCTCAAAAACCCAAAAAAAAAATAAATAAATAAGAGCTGTACCGATATAATAATCTCACCAGCAGCAGGTGCCTGTTTCCCCACGTTCTCATCCATTCTGACCAGTGTCATCTGTGTACATCTGAAAATACGAGAAATTTGTATTATACCGTATTGGTTTATATTTCCTTGGTGGGGAATCTTTCCTCTTGATTAATTGTCAGTTACTTGCTTTTCACTTTCAAACACTTCGGATTTTTTTTTTTTTTTTTGAGAGAGGGTCTCCTTCTATAGTTCAGGCTGGTCTTGAACTCACTGTGTAGCCCAAGCTAGCCTCAAACTCAGCAATCTTCCTGCCTCAGCCTCATGAGTGCTGGGATTACCAGTGTGTGCCACTACGCCCAATGGATTATTATTTAATCCCAGTAGTAACCCTTGGATGGTTATTGCTATGTTCCCTATTTTTCTAATTTATTTGCTTGTTTTTGTGATACTGGGGATTGAACCCAGGGTATCCCCACCCTTTTATGGATTTATTTTTTTTAATTTTGAAACAGGATCTCACTAAGCTGCTGCATTGCCTAGATTAGGCTCAATCTTGTGATCCTCCTGCCTCAGCCTCCCAGAATGCTGGGATTACAGATGTGCACCAATGCACCCAGCTCACATATGTTTCGTGTATATCTTGTACAGATAGCCTGAAGGCAATATTATACTTTTTTTTTAGCTTCTCACATGGTAGACAAGAACTCTACCCTTGACCTTGGCCCTCAACCCAGTTTTATAAGGTGTTTTTAGTCCACTTGTGTTTTGATGGTGACCCATCGCATGAGGTCAACTGTGGGAGTCACCATTTGTGACATTGTCAATGCTGAAAAGTTTCAGATTTGGAGCATTTCTGCTTGGGGACTAGGCATGCTGAGCACATCTGGGTAGAATGTGGGCTCCCTGGGTTCTGAGCACTAAGTGGGGGTTCCAGACTTGCCAACAGCCAGAATCCTTCTCTCCTCTGCCCCCACAGAAGATTGACCCCGAGGTGTCCACTTTCCTGCAGAAGCTGCGAAGCAAGGTACAGATTGGCGTGGTGGGCGGCTCTGACTACTCCAAGATTGCTGAGCAGCTGGGGGACGGGGACGAAGGTAGGAGGGGAGAGTCAGCTCCAGTGGGGTAGGGTAGACTGTAAAGATCCCATCCTACTTCTCTGGGACAGAAGTAGAGAAGGAGTTGGGCATGGTGGCGCACGCCTGTAATCCTGGCACTCAAGAGGCTGAGGCAGGAGGATCGCTGTGAGTTTCAGGCCAGTGTGGACTACATAGTGAGACCCTGTCTCAAAAAAAACAAAAAAAAGAGAGGGCCGGGGATTTAGCTCAGTGGCACCGAGCCTGCCTCACAAGCACAAGGCCCTGAGTTCATTCCCAGTACTGGAAAAGAGAGGGAGAGAACGTCAGTGAGCACCTCTTACTGCAGGTGCTAAGCCAGCAATAGGGAACCGGCTGGGAGCAATGTGGGCAGAGTCCTGCCCTTAGGCCATTTGCAATTCTCTGCAAAGCCTTGATTTCCTCATCTTTAACATGGACATAACTGGTAATGGTTAGGGTTTATACAAAATGACCAGGGTAGCTAGGTTTCTTGTAATTCTTCAGTCATGCTGTAGGGTAGACGTGGTTATCCCATTTATAACTGAAGGCTGAAGTCACCCAGGAAGTCTTTAGGGCCCCAAAGCCCCTGGGTCCGGCTCCTTGGCAGCAGAGGCCTCCAGTTCTACAAAGCACACCCTTCTTGGGTTTTCCCTCTTCCCACCCCATTTATTCCATAAGCGTGTTGCAGATACCTCTATCCTGCCCATTTCCTCCACCTCACCATAGTGTGGGCGATCCCCTGCTGCCCAGACCCTGCCACAGAGGTCCAGCTGCCCTGCTTCTCCCAGCCCAGCCAAAGCTGAAAGCTCCCTCTGCTGCCAGTCTGGCCACTGAGCCCCTGTCCCTCGGGCCTGTGGGAGCTCAGCAGAAGTGACGCCCTCTGCTGGCGAGTCCTGGACCAGAGGCCTCCAGAGGAGTGGCAGGACCTTGGAGGGGGATATCCAGAGGGAGGTCCAGGCAGAAAGGTCTGCCTGGGTGAAGGTGGAGAGCAGAGACTGGCTTGTGGGGAAGGAAACAAAGCTGCAGGAGCAGCAGAGGCTGGAGAAGCTGGTTCAGGATGAAACAGACAGGCCCTGAATGCCAAACCAAGGAGCATGAGCTCCGTCCCCACTGCTTGCCTCTGGGGAAACAGAGGGACCTGGTCTCAGGCTCTTTCTTTCTCCCCTGGCCTCTCTGTGGCCCCAAAGTCATTGAGAAGTTTGATTACGTGTTTGCGGAGAATGGGACGGTGCAGTATAAGCATGGACGACTGCTCTCCAAGCAGGTCAGTGTCTCCCAGGGCTGGGCTGGAGCAGTGACATCGCGCCCCACTGAGAGCCCTGTGTTCCTTGCCCAGACCATCCAGAGCCACCTGGGGGAGGAGCTGCTCCAGGACTTGATCAACTTCTGCCTCAGCTATATGGCCCTGCTTAGGCTGCCCAAGAAGCGGTGAGCTCCCAGACCAAACACACAAAAGTATGGGTCCCTCAGCTGGAGCCTGCAGATGCTTGGGCCCCTGATTTCTTTTGGGGGGCAGTGCTGGTGATTGAATCCTGAGCCTTGTGCGTGCTAAGTGAAGCAGGCCTGCACTACTACAGCCCCAGCCCTGAGGCCCTGACTCCTGGTGGGTGGATTCTTGTCCCCTGTGAAGCTCTGGGAGGCTGGATTTGAATTGAGGACCTCTCACTCTCCCTGGATCCCCCACTCTGTCACCCCAGTGGCACCTTCATCGAGTTCCGGAATGGCATGCTGAACATCTCGCCCATTGGTCGCAGCTGCACACTGGAGGAGCGGATCGAGTTCTCTGAACTGGACAAGGTGCCACCAACTACGTGACCCTAGGCCTGTAGAACTTCAGTCCCTCGACCTCTGCACGCCTGTGTTCTCATCAGTGAAATGGACCCAGGGAGGAGTTCTGAGTGAACCAGTAGTCTCGGGACCTGTCCTGTGTCACCACCATAGGCACATCTGCCCCTTTCCAGTGTCCCACACCACCAGCCACACCCAGGGCACATCATCGCCACCATCCCACCCACATCTGGTCCAGAAACTCCTGTTCTTCTATCCTCCAGAGCCATCTCGAATCTGCATCATTGCAGAGCTGAGAACCTGCTCTTCAGGTTACTGGAAGTCCCCTTCTGCCCCCCTCACCAGCCACCCTGAGCCCAGCAGCCATGCTGCCTGCTTGGGCTGGTCTGCGCGCTCCGCCTCACCTCCAGGCCCCACCTGTCTGCTCCCTCCACAGCCCAGGAGGGTCAGGCCCTGCGGGGTCTTCAGGCTTGCAAGAATGTCCCCCTGCCCAGCCCAGCCTACAGAAAACATTCAGCAGACACGGTTGTGGCTGTGGCCCCCACCCGGCATCCTGTGGCCTATGAGCACCCACTGCCGCTTATACAAAGGCTTTTTGCACAGCTCTCCACACTCCTTTCCGGTGCCAGAGCTGCAGTTTGCTGTGCTGACTTGGACAGGTGGACACTGGGACCTGGGTTCAGGCTGCCCTGTCCCCCCGGCCTTCCTGTCAGGCCCCCTTCAGAATGCCCAGTCTGTGCCCACTCTGGCAGGGATCTGGCTCTGCCTCCGAGGCTGGATGACCTGCCCCTCTCTGATCCTCATGCCCCCAAAAGGCCCCATGTGCCCAGCACAGAGCCTGGCACACGCTGTCCTCTGAGCCTTGCTCTGCGCCTCCCCCTGCAGAAGGAGAGGATCCGGGAGAAATTTGTGGAAGCCCTGAAGACGGAGTTTGCAGGCAAAGGGCTGCGGTTCTCCCGAGGTAGGTCCGCCCCTCAGAGCACAGGAGCCCCTTGGGGCAGGGCTGACGGCCTGGCTGGATTCCCCACCTGCCCCTTGCTGAGCTCTCCAGACCTGCCGGCAGTCCCAGCGTCTAGAACCCAGCTCAGTGCCGCTGACTGGGGCTTTGGGAGACTTGCTGACCCCCAGTTCCCCAGTCACCCCCACTCTGCCTAGGCTCCCAGCCCTGTGTCTCCTCGGGTCTCCCCTGGACACCATGGCTGGATAACCCTCCAATCCTGCTCTCCGATGGTCTTGTTTGTACCTCACTTATTCTGTCCCCTGAATCAGATGTCCCTGAAGGTGCTGAGTCCATCCTGTGCCCTGCGCTCTGTGCCCGGCCCTAGGCAGATACTTGGGGTTATGGAGCAAATGAGCACAGGCCTTGCCCAGACTCCCCCATGGCTCCCGCGCTGCCAGCTTGGTCTGCTCTCTCCTGCAGGCGGCATGATCAGCTTTGATGTCTTCCCTGAGGGCTGGGACAAGCGCTGCTGCTTGGACAGCCTGGACCAGGACAGCTTTGACACCATTCACTTCTTCGGAAATGAGACCAGCCCTGTGAGTATGGCCACACCCAGGCCTCTGGGCTCCCTCAACCTACACACCTGTGCTCAACGCCAAACCCACAGCGACAGAAACTGGGCCAGAGGGCTCCTGGTTACCAGGCTCAGAATCCAGTTTTTGTTTGTTGTGGTACTGGGGGTCGAACTCGGGACCCTTGCGCTTGCTTGCGGGGCAGGCGTGGTGTCACTGAGCTACATCCCTGGCCCCCATAATCCAGTTTGAAAACTAGGACTCAAAGACCGCTAGAAACCTGTTTGTGTCACACAGCAAGTCTGACAAGGACTGTGAAGGGGCAAGAGGAAGGGCAGCTCTCTAGGGGGTGGTGTGAGGACCCCAACCCCGGAAACCTCCTCCAGGTGTCCCTGCGCGAGTCCTTCTCTCCTCCCCTCCTCTTGTGCAGGGTGGAAATGACTTTGAGATCTACGCTGACCCCCGGACTGTGGGCCACAGCGTGGTCTCCCCTCAGGACACGGTTCAGCGGTGCCGTGAGATCTTCTTCCCTGAGACAGCCCACGAGGCATGAGCAGTCCTCACACCTGACTCTGACTTCCAGAGAGCTCTCCCGGGCCCACAGAAGGACGCCGGCACCTGCTGGGGCGGGGGAGCCTGCTCGAGGCCGGTCCGCAGGGTGGACGGCTGTGGCCTTAGCCGCTCCTCGTAGTTTGGAACAGAGCGTGTCCCGCTACACTAGAAGGAGACGCGCGAGGGTACGACGTGGAGCCACCCCGCCCGCCTGCCCTGCAGAGGAAGTGCAGAGCAGGCACGGGCACATCTCAGCACTTGGTGTCACGAGCATTAAAGGTCCCAGGACAAGGCATGGTGTCAAATGTGTCTGAAGGTGTGGCTCTTGATGTTATGTCACATGTTGTTAGGGTCACTACTTGGCAGAGGAGGAAACGGGCAAGGACTTGCCCCGGGTCACCCAGGAGTCTTTGATCCACTGAAGCCACAGACAAGGGCCAGCTCGGCAGGTCCTGCCCTGGCCCTCCCAGGACTGGACAGAAAGCAGCTATGGCAGCCCAGGTCACAGTTGAATTTATTGCCAGTGTTGGGGAGGATGGGGAATCCGTGGCTGGGGTCTCGGGACGGCTTCTGACAGTGCTGTGGGCCTGAGGACGGGAGGAGGGGCTGCTGCCCCTGCCACCCAGGCAGCTCTGGCCCGATGCCTACTCGGGGAGCCTAGTCATGGGGAGGCTGGGGTGCAGACAGGGCCTCTGCCAGGGGGCCCAGGGTGTCCTTGTCCAGCTCAGTGGAGTGTCAGGTTGGCTGGCCCTTCCTGGGTACAGGGGATGCCAGGCACCGTCCAGCCTCTGATGGTACTGGGCAGGGGTGAGATGCAGATGTCCAGCTATCTTGGGACAGTGCCAAGGCCTAGTCACCGACCCCCTCATCCTGGGCCTGTGAGCCCCCACTTTTACTTGCAGACTGGGTCTCATAAGGGTCACTGTCCTGGCAGGGCTGTGCCTCAAGCCTGTGACCCCACTTCCCCCACATTTGGTCTCAAGGGAGGGGGAGGGGCCAGGTCACCCCTGCCACACACAGGGACATCTCAGGCCCAGAGAGCTCCAGGTAACAGGGACAGCAGGATGGACAAGGCAAAGACCCCTGGGCCGCTGGTCTATCAGGACCTGTGGGGGCTGCTGTCCCACAGCTGAGGAAGAGGGGTGCAGGCCGGTGGATCCTTCTGGTGCCCAGGCCTGGTCTCGCATGAGACATTATTTCACATGTTCCACAGCTGCTGTGGCCAGGCATGGTGGAGAATCCACAGGGTTTGGGATTTGGGGGAGAGGAAATGGCTGCAGGCTAGGGAGATGGATCCCCTGTTTACCTTGGGGGGCAGGGGTGAGCACAGGGCACCCCAGATCCTCCTCTGCCTCACCAGTGATCTGAGAGCCTGAGCAGGAAGTGGGCTGGCCAAGGCAGTAGGGCCGTGTGCCCCATGTTTGCCCCTGTTCCACTGCGTGAGGCTGGGGGCTCACCCAAAGTGCTCACCAGCCTGGCTTCCGAGAGGAAGGGTCAGGCCATGGCAGAGGCCACAGCCTAGGGTGGGACACAGGCAGACAGGAGCGAGCTCATCTGAGAGGGGTCCCCCAAAGTCCCCATGAGCCAGACAGGATGGCAGAGACTCAGCCGACGTGGGCTGAGGGCAGGAGGACAAGAAGGGTCCTGTGTGTATGGCAGGAAGGGACGGAGGAGGGACAGGCAGGGCTGGTGGCCTCCCCTCCAGCCAGCTCTGGCCAGTTCACAGGACAGTCACAGGGTGGGGTGGGTGGAGGTGCGCACGCACAGCCAGGGGCACAGACAGACAGACAGACATGCACACCGAGGCCTCCCACATGGCTCCCAGCCTAGGAGCCCACGACCTGCCCAGACCACGTCTCATGAGGGGTGTGCGGGGCCAGCTGGGTGAGCACCACCTCCACAGCCTGGAACTTCTGGTTCTTAGGTGGGATGGGGCACATCTTGTAGGTCACCTCATCGCCTTCCACGGGCACATACTCCCCCTCGATGCTGGTGGGCAGGAGAGAAGGGTCAGCCCGATGCCATGCAGCCCTGTCAGAGGGCAGCCAGGCCAAGAGACCTGAGCAATCTTGCTTCTCAGAGCCTCAGCATTCTGGAAAGCTGAGGCAGGAGGATCCCAAGATCAAGTCCTGCCTGGGCAACTTATTCAAACCTTGTCTCAAAATAAAAGGGGATAGGGGGCGTATCTTAGGAGAAGGTCCTGGGTTCAGCCCACAGCACTGAAAAAAATAAAATCAGAGCCAGACATACGTGGCACATGCCTGTAGCCCCAGCGTTCAGGAGGCTAAGGCAGGTGGATTGCCATGAATCTGAGGCCGGCTTGAGCTACATAGTGAGTTCAAGGCTGGTCTGAATTACATATCAAGACTCATACACACACACAAATCCAGAAACCAAACAAGAAAAACATAAAAATAGGAATGAGACACAGTATCTCCCTCTCTGTGTCCTTTTGGGAATGGAGAGGTGAAAGGTCACAGGGGGGACAAGCTCACCCCACCCCAAAGCCCCTCCCAGGCTGTGGTCATAGCACAGGGTCCAGGCCACCCCTCTCCTGCACCCTCAGCCCGTGGGAGGACGCAGAGGCAGGGACAGCAGCTACACACAGGCTCTTCGAGGGCTACTGGGGCAGGGCCCAGCCCCGAAGGGAGGCCGGGGACTCACTCAGACACGTGCACGAAGATGTCCTCCGACCCGTTCTCGGGGGTGATGAAGCCGTGGCCCTGGGAGCGGGAGAACTGCTTGCAGACGCCCTTGAACACAGGGCCGGCCGAGGCGCGGGCTGTCCTGGGGTGGGGGATCGCAGCTGTGGCCCGGGAGCCCCCAACCCCGCCCTGCGGAGCTGCCTGGGCCAGCGGCACACACACAGTCACCCAGCACTCACACCACCCCCAGTCTGCAGATGAGACCCAGGCCCAGAGAGGGGTCTCCTGACTCCTCCCAGTGTCTGCACGGGGCACCCTCCACTCCTGAGCTCATTTGGATGTAAGCAGATTGTTCTCGTAAGCTCTCTCTTGCTCGCTCTCTCTTTCTTTCTCTCATTTTGTAGTTTTTGTTTTGTTTTGTTTTGAGACAGGCTCTTGCTATGTAGTTCAGCCTGGCCTTGAACTCACTATGTAGCCCAGGCCAGCCTCAAACTCACAGCGATCCTCCTGCTTCAGCCTCCTGAGTGCTGGGATTACAGGTGTGCACCACCACGCCCGGCTTTAGCCCAGCACGTTTTGTGGAATGAATGAATAGATACAGCAGTTACGGAGAGGTCCACACCCGGCTCCCTGTCCTCAGGAGGACAATGGGGACACAGAAGCATGGGGAAAGTCTCAGAGCCCGGGTGAGGGACAGGTACTCACGCTGAGTACGTCCTGGTGCGCTTGGTGGGCAGAGGGCTGGGCAGGTCCCGTGGCGTCCCGCCCCGCTCCCACACCCTGCTGCCCTCCCTGTGGAAGGGGAAAGTGGGCCAGACAGGCGACTTGGGCGAGTGGAGCGGGGGCACCACTGGGGGTGACGTGGGCTCCGATGTCATGGTGAGGCCAGTGGGAGAGTCTGGTGGGCTCTGGGGCCCTGGGGCCGGCGGAGGGCTTGGGCGTCCTTGCGGGCAGGGCCCGGCCTGGCCCTGCTCGGTGGCCTCGCCAGCTACGGGCTCCGTCTGCAGGGGAGAGAGAGAGAGAACAGTTGAGTCCAGTCTGGGGACAGCACGGGACACCGGACACTGTGGGGAGGCCGTTCCCGCCAGCTGTGGCTGCGGTATGGCTCTGCACCACGCACAACCTGTCCTGCCTCAGTATGCAAAGCAGAAGGACAAAAACGACCAAAGTCTGCCTCTGTAACTCTTGGGGCATGGGAAGTGGGGTGTTTGGTGGCTGTAATTTGGTGTAAGTGTTTCAGATTCACAGCCAGGGGTTCAAATCTCGGCTCTGTCACTTACAATTTGGGGGCCTCAGCCAAGCCACTCGAGGGTCCCACGTGGTGGGCAGGAATGCAGGCTGCAGCCCCAACGGCCCGGGTGTGAACCCCAGCTCCTGTACTCGCTGGCCGTGCGGCCTTGGGCCACACTCCCAGCCTGAGACAGGTCACATCCTGCATACGACAGGTCACGGGGCATAGTGTGGCTCTTATTCCACAGCAAGGTCGCGCTGAGCACGACATCCCTTTCTGCTTGCTTGGAGCAGACCGCAGGGCGAGTTCTTGAGAATTGTTTTCCCTTAGCCTCGTTTCTGACTCTTAAAATGAGGTTGAAACTCTCAGAATGTAACATCCGGGACACAGTGCTCGCCTAGTACATGTGAGAACCTTGGTTCCAAATACGAGGCTGGCAACAGCTTATAAAGGTGCTGGGGATTCGGTGACTTAGGATGTGAGGTGCTGACTGGCATCTGTGATAGGAGACTCAGCGGAGCCTCTGCACTTGGCCTTAATTGGTTCCAGGAGGTACAACCAATACCAAAACTGACAAGTGCCAAACAACTTGTTTTGGCTGGAAAAGGTGGTGAGTCACTAGGCAATCGACATGGACAAATTCTTTTGTTGTTATGGTTTGAGACAGGGGCTCATTATGTAGTTCAGGGTGACCTCAAACACACAGTCATCCTCCTGCCTCAGCCTCCTGAGCGCTGGGATTACAGGCGTGCACCACACTGATCCATTCCAGCTTGTATGTCGTGTACCAAATGAACAATGACTACTGAAACAAAATTTTCGGGTCTGAATGCATTAAGTAGTGAATTCCACAAGTGTCACTACAGTCAGACTGCAGGGGTAAGACTGTGCATTGCTGTATCAATGCTGATTAACAGACGTCCCCAAGCCCACAGCGCGGCACCTAGGTGGCCTCGAGAAAACCGCCCTGTATTTTCCCCAATCTAGGAAAAGATCGCAACTCCCTCCACAAGCAGCCCCCGAACTCCTCCTCAGGGGTTGGGAAGTCTTGGGGCCCAGGAAATCTGCCATGGAGCCCTGACAAGGGACAAGGGCCCTGTAGGCTGGGAGGACCAGGAGAGTGCCTGCATGACCCTCCCCTGGCCTCAGTTTCTTCATCTGTGCGATGGCACTGGAAGCCACGCATCTGAGCACCGGAAGCCCTGTGCTCCCCTTGCTCAGGCCCCGACTGCATCGAGACCATCCCAGAGGAGCAGTGATGGCTTCTCCACCTCTGCTCCTCCTTCCCTCTTCCTGCCCTACCTGTTGTCCTGGGTGGCAGAGATAAATCCTGAACTGTGTGTCTATTTCCGGCCTCCATCTGCCCAAAACCAAACACACACAAATCCAGGGTTTCCAGGGAATGGTTTAAGGCTCTGTAGGAGTCCAGTGCCCAGGCAGTCCAAAAACCCCCACAGCAGGGCAGCAGAGCCAAGAGTCACCTGTCCCATCTCCATTGCCAAAGTAGAGCCCCTGGCCTCTGTTCATAAAGATCCTCCTGCCTCAGCCTCTCAACTGCTGGGATCAAAGACATGTACCTCCATGTCCAGGTTCTTCCTTACTTACTTTTATGCTAGGCATTGAGCCCAGGGCCCAACAAACACAAGCATTCTGCCACTTAGCTACATCCCCAGCCATGCCAAGAAAACAGAAGCTTCAAGCTAGGCGTGGTGGCACACTCCTGTAATCCCAACACTCAGGAGGCTGAGGCAGGAGAATGGCTGTGAGTTCGAGACCAGCCTGGGCTACAGAGTGAGTTCCAGGTCAGTCTCAACTACACAGAGAGACCCTGTCTCAAAAAAAAAAAAAAGAAAGAAAAAGAAAAAACAAAAAAACAGAAGTTTTAAAAATGCAAACAGCCAGGGATAATGGTGCACACCTGTAATCCCAGCACTCAGGTGGCTGAAGCAGGAGGATCGCCACAAGTTTGAGGTCAGCCTGGACTACATAGCAAGACTCTGCCTCAAAACAAACAACACACACACAGGCAGGAGCCACAGCAAAACTGAGACGTGAATGTTCACAGCAGCATACTGACCATGGCCACCACCAGGTGACTGGGTACACAGTGGCAGGGCCACACATGCTGTCTCTCGGCCATCAGGGATGAGTGAAGGCGCGGACTCCTGCAGCCAGAGATGAACCTTGGGAGCCTCACACTAAGTGAGAAAGGCTGGTTACAAAGACCCGTATAAGGGCCAGGGGTCTAGCTCAGTGGTGCCACTGCCCACCTCTCCCAAGTGCGAGGACCCGAGTTCGATTCCTGATACAAAATTTAAAAATAAATAAATAAATAAATAAATAAAGACCCATGTGAAATGGCTCCATTCTTTCATGAGAAACAAGGCAAAGCCACAGGGGCTGGAAGTAGCTTCCTGGTCACCAGGGCCAGGGGCGGTACGGGGGCAAGAGGTGGCTGCTGAGGGCTAGAGTTTCTTCTGGGGGCAGGAAAATGCTTTGTTCCATAGGCAGCTGTGGTGATGACCGAGGAGGTCAAACTCAGCTGAGATGTAGTGTGTGAATTGTGTTTCAAGGCATCTGACATTGAAAAAAAGAAGAGCGAGCCTGGCACGGTTGTGCAGAAGGCTGAGGCTGAGGCAGGAGGACTGCAGTGAGTTCAAGACCAGCACAGGTTCAAGGCCAGCCTGGACGACACAGACAGACTTTGTTGCAAAAAAAGAAAAAAAGGGAACTTGAGGTGAAAGGGCAGTGTAGGTGAATCTTACGGAGGTGACTGGGTCGTCTCTGTCCCTCTGGGAGTCCCCTGGGCAGATCAGGGAAGTCAAAGCAGCTCAACCACCCAGTGCTGTGTGACCAGGGCAAGCGATGCCCCTCTTCCCCTTGATCTCAGCCACGTTAGTGGTCTCTGCTCCCAATGCCTCAGCCCACTTCTTTGAGGTTGTCAGAAATGCATGGGGGCACAGCCCAAGGTGACATTTCCCAACCTGTGTCCTATGCACCAAAAAAATAACATTTATACCATTTACACCCAGCATGGTGGTGCACACCTGTAATCTCAGCATTTGGGAAGCTGAGGCAGGAGGATCTTCATGAGTTTGAAACCAGCCTAGGGTACACAGTGAATTCAAGACCAGCTTGAACTATAAAGCAAGACTCTGTCTCAAAAAAACCAATACAAACAAACAAAAATTTCTAGGCCATCATTACTACTAGAATGCCCATTCTACAGAAGAGTAAACTGAGGCTCCGAAAGGTGAAAAGTCTTTCTGAGGTCACAGAGCTGGTTAGAGGTCACCCTTTTGTCCCCTGGAAATGCCTGGGTGTGGGATGGGCAGGAGGCAAGGAGGAGACCATTCTCCCCAAAAGCGCCTCATGGAGAAGGGCGCACAGGGGTGGGAGAGGTGGGGAGCAGGACTCAGGGTTCTATTCCTGGCATTGTGCTGACTCAGACAATGACCTTGGCTGAGTCACTTGTCAGCTCCCCAGAGCTTGAAGACAACTCCCTAATAAAATATCCCAGCCGCCAGCCCCCATGGTGGGGAGCAGATGGGAGGAGGGGAAGTGGCTTCAGACAGAAGAGCTGGCAGAAGCAGGGGAGAGGGGAGGCTTGCTGGACAGGGCAGCATCCGCAGCAGTTCCTGAGAGTGACAAGGAACAAACTTGCGAGCGCTGGACAGACTGGCCCTCACCTGCTCTCCCCGCCTCAGCCTCCCTGAAGCTCTTTAAAATACATCAGGACCAAAGCTGTGCTTTCAGCTGGAGGTGACCTAATTAAACCTGCTTCCCTCCCCTCCTGAGCGTTGTGACTATGACTGTGTGTGCGTGTGTGTGAGCGCCCGAGGTGCGGGGTGCCCCAGCCATTACTGGAGCTGGATTTCTCCGGGGACCTCTTCCCTGCCGCCTCACCACATCCCCAGCCTGCCTGTGGTCCAGAGGCCAGGGTGGCACCAGGAGCACCATGTTCTCACCAGCTCTGCCTCTGCCCCACTGTGGAACCTCAGGCAAGTCACCTTCCTGTTCCAAGTCCCCCTGCGGGGAGGACTAGATTTGGAACGGCTATACCTGTGCCCCACAGCCCCTGGGCTTTCCAGTGTGCTATGCCACCCCTGCTCTGTGACTGTCATTTCACTGGCTCTGGGACAAGGACAGAGTCTGCTCCACTTATAACTACCCTCCTGTGCAACCTGAACTAAAGTCTGATCTGTGCCAGTTGTGGTGTGCACATCTGTGATCTCAACGCCCAGAAGGCTGAGGCAGGAGTAGTGCTGCGAGTGTGAGCTTAGCCTGAGCTACAGTGTCAGCCTAAACTACACAGCAAGACCCTACCTCAAACAAATCAAAAAACAAGACCAAAAAACTGATCTGTCCCGAGTCCCATTCCCTCAGGGTCTCCGGTCCAGGCTGCCAGGTTGGGACTTGGTTGTGACCACTACAACCGAGCCCAGAGCGCCCTCTGCTGGTGATACTTGGGGGTCCTGCCTCTGGATGAGCTGGCGAAGGGCCGGTGTGGGTCTTCCAGGGCCCCCGGAGAGCCCGTCCCGACAGTGACATCCGCGAACCTTGTCCAGCCATCTCTCTCCACGGCTAGGACAAACCTCTATGGCTGAAACTGTCCTATGCCCCGCCCCTAGCCCCTGATGGCACCTCTTTGGATTTTTTTCCTCTTGCAGCTGGGGGCCAGACAGATCAGGATGGGCAGGTGTTTTTGGAAAAGACTTCAATCAAAGAAATGGGAAAGGTGAGTCTGGGTGAAGCCAACATTGACAACTGGAGGCCCAGAGGCCTCTGGGATGGACTAGGTTTGGGAATGGGGCCTACAAACCCTCATTCCCAAGGAGAGGGCCCTGCTGGATGGCATCCAGGCGGCATGGTGCCAGGCGCTGGAGAGGTTGCCCCTCCCCGCCGGGTACACTTCCTTCTCCCCGCCCCCAGCCCCTTGGCTGCAGCGGTTCACACTCGTATTTATTATTGTTCTCCTCCTAGCCCCCTCCCTCTGCCCGGGAAGAGCAGGCAGGCAGCCTGGCAGCTTGGCAGGAACCGGCTGTCTCCTTCTGGGTGCCAGCGTCTCCCCTTATCTCCACCCGGTCTCCTTGTGCCAGGGTGAGGCCACTCCGGGCTTGATGCCAGCCAAGGTGGCCCTGAGTCCCTGCGTCCCACGGCTGGGTGGCCCTGCAGGCCCCAGCTTATCACCTCTGCCCTCCTTCTGGGGGCTGCACTCTGGCAAAGGCAGGTCAGAGCCAGCCTAGCGGGCACGTAGACCCAGGCACTCAGGCGGGCCCAGTGGACCCAGCACGGAGAGAACCTGAGCCACCTCCCAAACCCACGAACACAACTGTCCCCATCACACTGGGGACACGGAGTTGGGGCAAGACAGCTGCTCCAGGGGCATCATCCACCTGTCCTCAATATCCCTCCACGTCCCAGCCCACATTCCAGGGATGCTTCCCGGCACACTTGCCTTTCCAGCCTGGAGGGAGCCCTCGGATTCCTCCAGCCACCGCGGTAACCTCCTGGTCCCCAGACAGGAGGCTGCGGCTTGGCAGGGATGGGCTGTTCCCCGCCACCCGGGCCAGACACGAGTACCAGACACAGACAGGCGCGCGCGCGCTCGGCCTCCCGGGGGTCCAGAGGAGACGGTCGGCGGGGACCCCAGCGCCCTCTCTCTG